CACAAATATCTCACCGCTGGAGGGAAGGACAGGTCGCGCTAAGGTTGTTATAGTTAGTTGTGTACCCTTCACAGCTGAGGTTCTCAAACTGGGTGCCACGAGCGTATGCAGAGGGTGCCGCGGCAGTAAACCAGAATTTTTCCAAATCCACTTGAGACCGTCGAAGACAGTAGTTTAAAATAGAAATACAGTTAAGAAAGGCAAGAAAAGTTCTGGATGCAGGTGTCTTCACAAGACAATGCTTTTGGCACGGCTTCAGTGCATTCTCAACGACCGCTTACACACAAGAAGAAATATACAGAAGCAGACTTTCTGGGTCAAATAATCTGAGGGTTAAATTAACTAAACTACCTATAGACATAAAGGAAATAATGAAAAACTCATTAAACAGTTTTATTCACAGCACTAAAGACAACTGAACATTAAATGTGCATTGGCCCCCCCCCCCCCCCCCCACCCAGTATTCAAACCGCTTTAAGGGTAGGTGTGCCGTAATTTGTTTTTCTTTAACCCAACAAGGGTGCCGCGGTAAAAAGAAGTTTGATAACCGCTCCTTTACAGGACGTTGCAGAACCAAACCCAGCATTATTATGGCTGTTTTTTTAAAAGGGAAATGTTACGTTCAGTAGTTTGCTGCTGCTTTGAAACCAACGCAAGGCGAGAAATCGCCAGCAGCTGAGATCGAACGCAGCACCTCGGCATTATGAAGCAAGGTTGTTATAATGGTTAGTTGCGTATCCTTTACAGGACGTTGCAGAACCAACCCCAACAGCCCTTGGCTATTGTGTAGTTTTTCTAGGCAAATTTACGTCCAGTAGTTTGCCACTGCTTCCTGGACGGTCGGCTTTCTTGATACCACTGTCGAAAGCAACGCGAGGCGCATGGCCCACAGCTGGGATCGAACCCGGCATCCCGGCATTACGAAGCGTTCGCATCGACTAAGCCACAGAGCCGACCAAGGTTGCTATATCAGGGCTTATTTGCTGAATCGGCAAAAACTGCGGGCCCAGTATGCAGAACGGGAATAATCTTTCTTGACCTACTTGCGTACGCCGTAAAGGGCAGTAACTTCATTGACGTCACACGAAGGTGGGATATGGGACTTGGTGACACAATCATAAGGGGTAACGTTCCTGGAACGTGGAAGATCGCGTCCCTTGAGCACCCCCAAATATTTGAAGCAAGTTAAAATCGTCTCCTTGTAGGATGCAATTTTTCGTTATTTGAAACCCTATCCTGGCTTTTGCCGGCAGGGCCACATAAGTGGCCAAAACGGTTAAAAGGGGTTTTTGGGACCTTTCCATGAATGATCCTCATCCGCATGGTGGCACTTTGTGTCACCATGTGTTTATCGCTTGTGTGATGTCCTGGTTGGGTACAACAAGCAAGCAAGAATGCACTAATGTAATTAAAGCTTTGAGAGGAAAGAACTAGTTCCAGTGGACAAAGGTGAAGAAAAGGTGCTGGCTTTGGATACGACATATGCCGAGATAACCTGTGAACAATATAACTAGGATGTCTTTGCTTTGGAACCCACAGAGGCATAGAAAAAAGGAAGACAAAAACACACGGAGAAGAAAGTTAGAGACTGAAGTTAAAAAGATGGGGAGGATATATGGAGAGCTGCATGGGACAGAGAAGGATAGAACGTTTTCGCATGAGTGATTGAGGGCCTATGCTCCACTGGGGGTTAGAAAGCCAGAAGAAGAATAAGACTAGTATTATATCTATTTGTCATCTAGCAAATAAATAATTATTGCACAATTAAACAAAGCTTAAGCAGTGGCAGTGAACCTGGTAGCAAGCATGGAAACTGCAACCTATGACGATGGCCAATGACCTATGGTGATGGCCAGTGACCTATGGTGATGGCCAGTGACCAATGGCAATGGCCAGTGTGACTAGCAAAAGCCGCTGGCATTTAGAACCCTTCAATCATCATAGCATGAGATTTCAGAAAACCTCTCTCTTGAACAAGGTATCTTCTTTTTTCTTGGCATTCAGCGGTTGTAAATTCTGGTGGAAAGTTCTGGGTTGAGTTGAGTGAAGAACCAACATCACAGCACTTAAGGCATTCCCATAAGCACCCTGTCCCCTTCTTCAGGATACTACAAACTCTTTTACTCTCAAAAGAGAGCAGGTCACTTATTTATAACCATAAGGTAGGTTAGTTGGTTAGAAAGTTAGTTAGCTAGTTGGTCGAGGTTCCAATGTCACTGCAGATGGGTTGCCCCACGACTGCTTTTTTTTAATTCAGTGCCAGGGGAACCCACACAAAATTTCCTAAATTTTTCCTTGTTGCATTTGAGAACTAGTGAAACACTTGTTAGTCCTAGCAAAACATTGAAGCTTGCACACAAAAACTAGAAATGCACAAAAGCAGCTGTCTGATGTGCCAACACTAAAGGTCCCACACAAGAACTGCAGCTCACTGATGGCGCATAGGGTCAATCATGCAAGTTATCAACTCATCCCTAAAAATATACACCACCTGAATGCAGAAGGCCAGTGGTTCTTAAACTTTTCTCGCCGTGGCACCCTTGTCACCCAAACAAAAATGTTGCGGCACACCTACTCTTAAAGCGGTTTGAATACTTAGGAGAAGAAGAAAAACAGTGCACATTTAATGTTCAGTTGTCTTTAATGTGATGAATGAAACTGTTTTGATTAATTTTTTCCATTATTTCCTTCATGTATATGGAAAGTTTAGTTAATTTTACCCACAAATCACTTGACCCCGAAAGTTTGCTCCTGTATCTGTTTTTCATGTAAGCATAAGTTGAGAATGCACTGCAGCCTTGCCAATAGCATTGTCTTCTCATTTCACTTGCATCCAGAACTTTTCTTGGCTTCCTTCACGTTGTTTCTGTTTTAAACTGATGTCTCACTGATCTCAAGCAAATTTTGAAAATTATTTTTATTTCTGCGGCAGCACCCAGTTTGAGAACCTCTGCAATAGGCTACCCGCATTTTAACTCTTTGAGTCCCAGAGGCTTCAGCATCACAGGTCCAAGGGATAGTCAAAAGAGACGTAAAATCGGCGCATCATGCGTTCATTGGGCTTATAGGCAGTAACCTATGAATGTATGATGCGTTCCTTGGGACTCATAGAGTTAATGCAGCCAACAACGCATCACATATACAACAGAAACAAACATTCCACATCAAATCCATGGCACACAGTGTTGTATTAAGCACTCAACTCAGTATCTGGGCAACGGAACCTTTGGACTTCTGGAACAAGAACAAGTTCTGAAACACGACAAAAGTCTAGAAGTAGACGAACAGCGGTGGCGGGGTGATTTCTGTCACAGGCGTGAGGTAAAGTTAAGCCCAACGTGATGTGTATAAGGAGTTACTCCGTACGTCATTTAGGCGCCAGTCCTGCACTGTTCTGGTTCTAAGGAACCTCACGCAAGACTCCTGCAGCATGTCCTCGTCGTGCGCCATGGATAATGTCTCGAGCATTAACAGAGCTGTCAGGGGATCTCGGAGTTGGCGACATTTGGTTAAAAGTTTGTGGGGTGAAGAAAACATTGCGTTGCTGAGACTCTTGACCTAGAGATTTACCCGCAGCACAGACGAGTAACATCTCCTGTGGGTGGCGTCTCGCAGCCAGATTCTACCCATGTACATCCTCGGTCAACCCTAAGTGTCGTCGCCACCGCGCTGAGGAGCACCATGACAGCAACCATCCATTGGCCGGTTAAGCCCAAATGTTTGACAAAAATTGATCCTACTGCACACGAGCAAGCTCAAAATTTCGACCATCATAAATCTTATTGACTGGAAAAAGTCCAAATGTCCACATTCCGAGACCCCACTCGCCCGAGTGTTGGGACCAAACAGATAAAGACATGCCTGACGCAGGATTCTACATTCTGCCGTGCTAACAGCACGCTAAAGATAACAATCGTGAGGCAAAAAAGATAGTACCTATTCGTGTGGTCACAAAAGTCCAGAACCCACAGACTGCCTCCCGCTGATCTCGGGAGGGCGCAGCCCGTGTCGAGCGGGAAGCCTAATACGGTTGTGAGGTTAAGCAGTTATGTGCAGGACGTGGCGATTCCTTGGGTGAGCTAAGAACCAGAGCCTTATGTGCCGGCTCTGCATTTATGAAAGCCTCCTTGGATGGCGGGGAATGCTCATGATCTGCCCCTGCCTTCCCTTGAGGGCCAACCGCTCCACACAGGGCTGTCCCAAATGGAGTACTTCGGGGGCAACACCTATGGAGAAAGGGACAAAGAGGACACCACACAAATAAGGTCACATCTCGACCCACACAAAATAATGGCCACAGTCATCCTAGAAATAGGCCTGACGCCTTCCCCCGAAGTCAGAGTACATCTGCCCATGAGGCAGGGAACGGCAAAAGCCAGTAAAACGGTTGTACACGCAAAACTCAGGTCCAGGTAAAAGCCAAAAGTGCAAGCGGACAATTAACCGGGACCTTCCGCCGGAATTCACAGCCGGTGAACGAAGAAGAAGAAGACGAACAGCCAGAACTTTCCCCCAGAGTTTACAACAGGTGAAGGCAAAGATGAAGAAGAATTGAAGTGCCAGAGGAAAATTTCTGATGTGCCATGGACTAAGAAGAAGAAAACACTTCAATCCGACATGATCAGGGTACTAGAGAGAGTGAGAACTGGCTGATAAACAGCACCCTGTCCTGAAAGCAGAGATATTCTAGCCATGTTAAATGTTACAGTGGCCTGAAGGGTAATATCATGGTGGGTACAATTTCCTGAAAATGAGGCAGAGACAGACCTCCACAAAGCTGGACACAAGACATTTAAGATGGAGTGGCTATGAAAGCTCATAGGGCTGGAAAATTGGCTAGAGAATTTCAGGCATACTGTGACGATGACGACCTTGTGTAAAAGACCTACTGACTGATGATACAATTGTAAAACCTATCTGACCTTACGATGATAGTAAGACAGTATGATACTTTATGAATACGACGATGATTATATCTACATGAGTGATGGCTCACTTACCTCCCATGGCTTCGGTGGAACCTCTGACCTTCGTGTAGAATGGATTATATAATAACCAACGGATGCTGCCCCAGATGTGATTAACAGAAACCTGGTCGATAACGACAGTTTGCGCTTTACTGGAGCTGTAGTTTGGTCTGAAAAATAGAAGCCAAGAATAATTTAAAAATAAAGCAGTCCTCAACGGATCAACATCGTGGCACACGGGTAGTAATCCATAAGTGCTCCGTTCTTCTTCTAACTCAGGTCTGAGTCCAAAGAAACTCAGCAAAGTGCACAGGTTTTGTAGCACCGGCCAGAATCCTGAAATACTTTGGGTAGATTTTAACTCCAAATTCCCCCCCCCCACCCCTCCCCCCCAGGCAGCGCCACTAGGCTACTCTTTTCGATTTCCTACTGCCAAGGGATTTTTTAATGTGCGCAACAATGCACTTTGGCGTCCGATCTTACTACCCAGAGACCAAGAGGAATGACTAAAGTCCAAGCCCACGTGAAAAAAATCCCAGCCCCTATTGGGGATTCAACCCAGAACCTCTAGCACTCGATGAGGTTAACACTATGCCCCAAGACCACGCAGCCCCCCTAGCAGTCCTCAGAGAGTGTTCAACCAGACCAAGTGACTAAGACTTAGACAGACAGTTATTGGACAGGTTATTCTCATCGACTTAGACAGACAGTTATTGGAAAGGTTATTCTCATCGACTTAGACAGACAGTTATTGGACAGGTTATTCTCATCGACTTAGACAGACAGTTATTGGACAGACAGTTATTGGACAGGTTATTCTCATCCACAGACAGACAGTTATTGGACAGGTTATTCTCATCAACTTAGACAGACAGTTATTGGACAGACAGTTATTGGACAGGTTATTCTCATTGACTTAGACAGACAGTTATTGGACAGGTTATTTTCATCGACTTAGACAGACAGTTATTGGACAGGTTATTCTCATCAACTTAGACAGACAGTTATTACACAGTCAGTTATTGGACAGGTTATTCTCATCAAACAAGTTCACAAGTGTTTGGATCCTATCTTCAGTATCTCCCTCACTGAGCGTTGACTAATAACACCAGTTCTGCATTGTTTCACTATTCTTCTTTGGCCACCTGTATAGTGTTTATGTCTGGGAGGAGCGGTTACAACGTCTGGCTCTCATGTCGGAGACCCGAGTTCAACCCCCCGGTAAGGTGATGAAGTTTTTCGATTGGCAGCAAAATTAAACATTCTAACCTGCACAGTCTGTGGCAACCGCACTAGCAAGGCGAACCTTAATCTTCAGGCTGTCTACACTAACCTAAAAAGTGGTAAAACAGACAGTAGTGAGTTATTGTCTGGCAATATCTCTTTTAACCTGCAGTTCTTGAGGCTTTTTAATAATACTGTTAGAGATTAGAATTCTTGCTCGCTACATACATCCAGTGTTAACATATGGCTGTGAATCCTGGATAATCGGTAGGCAGGCCAAACAATTTCTTGAGGTCTCAGAAAAGTGGTTCTACAGAAGAATGCTTAGAATACCTTGGACAGCCAAAAAGAGCAACCAAGAGGTTTTGAAAGAGGCGGGAGCCCGAAGACAACTTATCACAGATACCAGAAGGAGACAGTCATCATTTTTCGGCCATGTTATGAGAAGGGGGAAAACAGAACATGTTGTGACCACTGGAAAGATCTGTGGAAGGAAGGATAGAGGAAGACAACGAGAGAAGATTCTTGACAGTCTTGTTGCATGGCATGGAGGTGTGTCGGCACACGAACTGATATATGCTGCAAGAGATGGTGGATTATGGAGAGGCACAATCGCCCAGGCTGGTCGGCAAGGCACCTGATTATGATGATGTTAGAGATTCCTCTCAGAGCTTCTACAACGACAATAGGGAATGACAACAGCCATTGCTGCCCATCATGCAATGGGTCACAAACAGTTCCTCCCCATTAAGCTTAATGGCAGAAGTAGAAATATATTATGATGATGATGTTAGAGCTTTATTGCAGCCAATCTTCGCTATGGAACTGATACCTGATTGCTTGTGAATGTATAAATATAAGTCTCATAAAATCAAACTGCTACTGGGACTACTGGAACTCTTTACTAGCTGCTGAGGATGAGGACAGAGTACTTATGGGAATGTCCTAAAGTGCTGTGATATCCGTTGTAAATTCAAATGACCGTGAAAGCGTTCAGTTCGGATCACCAATTCTGCACACTAGACACATTCCTAGCCACTCTGATCTTCTCTAGGAAACAGCAGTCATGGTTCAACGATTAACTTTACTGGTTCTGTACAAACTGACAAGTCTTCTTATAATCTTGGTGCACTGTTATTATCTGAAAATTAATTCATGTTCACTGGCCCTGAACTCTGGTAAATATTTCTGGCTGTTTGTCCGCTTCTGGACTTAAAAAGTCTTATACCAGAACTTGAATTTTGCATGCATATCTGTTGTTCAGATCGGGCATATTTGAACCACCAAGCATTTCTTCTGCCTCTCAACACAGAGCTATCTGTATAATCACATTAGCTCAGCGAGAACTGTCATGAATCATCTGTTGAACTTCTGACTCTGCAGCGCCCGCTGGCCAGTTTGACTGGGTACTCTGACCTATCCTCTTCTTCTTTCTATACCCCCAATGGAGCATAGGCCCTTAACTACCTCATGCCAAGTCGTTCTATTCTTTGTTATTGCATGCAGCTCATCCTATGTCCTCCCCCTTCTTTCTCCATGCATTTTTTGTGTGGTCTGGTTTTATTTCTATGCCCCTGTGCATTCCAGTGCAAAGACATTTGATTTATACTGTTCTCAGGTTTTTCTCAACATGTGTCCTATATAGTTTCTTTTTTTCACCTCTTGGTCCACTCACAGAATCAGATGCAAGACAAATTAAATATACCTGATGCGAGATCACAACTGCTAGATCTGAAAATCCATAAGGGAAAGACAAAGATAATAATAACAAGCATGTAGTAGGAGGCGACTAATTATGGTTATGGGACAGTTCAGTATGATAATAATTAATCCCACCAAGGTACCCTGCGACCCTTAGCTAAACTCAGTACGTGAATGAAGCTGGGTGAAAACTCAGCATGGCTTGTTCAAGGCCAGCGGATTTCACGTAGGCAGACCGCCACGTGGACACGGCAGCGTGTAACAAAACTGCTGTGCAAGGCAGAGTTCTGGATTCTCTTGGTTGCAGACTTGTGGTGCTAACTTCATGTGTGACTGGACGTTAGATTGTGATAGTTTCATTGACAGATCATACTGACTTGTAGAAATGTACTATCGTAGTTATTAGCTGTAATGTGTACTGTTCATGGTGTGATTAAATGCATTTAATATGTTACAGGGTAGATAATACGTGTTCCATTTAGATCTCAGTTAGCATTAGATTAGGGTAGTAGCTAGACTTTGTCAGTAGTTATAACTCTTTATGATAAGCCAGACCATGCATTGTTTGTGGCGTTAGCACAGGTTGACGCACCTCTAGCCCATACGTGGCGTGTGCCATAGCGTCTTTGGCATCGGGAGACAGTGGGCTTAGTTGGCACTGTACGGGAGTGTGGTGGTGGCTCAGAGCTTATTTTATGAGCGTGAATAGGCGCCTCTAAATTATTTTAAATTTAGAAGCGGCCTGGATTCAGAATAAGGAGCACTACCCCTTCTGAAGCGTTCACCGCCTACTTTGTATCTTTTGATAATAAAGATTGTGTGTGTGTTTCATCCAGTGTTTGGCTTGGATGTGTTTGTCAGCAGTTTTTCTGTCATAAGCCTACAGCGCAGCCAATGGAATCGAACCCTAGACATTTAGGTTCTTGACAGGTTGTTTCCCTTTGCTTCGAAGTCATGGTGCATGTGCCAAAGAGGCGAGGAACCAACAAACAAGCTAGATTTGTAAAACAGATGTACACGCAAAATTCAAGTTCTGGAACAAGACTTAAGTCCAGAAGTGGACACAAAACCAAAAACGAGTTGGAGGCAGTCACTACAGCCTCCCGCTGGCTTCAGGGCTAGTTGTGCACATATGTCGTAACTGACTCACATGCTGAAAAAGGTACAGAGACAGGTATGATCCACGCAGAGTGGCAAGTATCGCTTCAGATGTCCCGGGTAGTTAGTGTCCTTTGGATATTTTCCCCAGGTCGCGCTTTTTAGATATTTTCTCCAGGTCACGCTTTCTGGATCTTTTTCTCCAGGTCATGCTTTTCGGATATTTTCTCCAGGTCATGCTTTTTAGATATTTTTCTCCAGGTGATGCTTTTCGGATATTTTCTCCAGGTCATGCCTGTGTGTTGGCAAATGGACAAGTACTCAGACTGACTGGTTCTGCACCACTTGTTAGTAAAGTGATGCATGACAAAAACAAGCTAGAAGTTTAAGGTCCTTTGTGAGCGAGTGAACAGTGAGGAGGTACAAACAGATCATTATGGTCAGAGGAGAATGGTGCTGCGAGAAGTGACCAAGGGATATAGCTGACGCTCAATACTCAAGGGAAATGTGAATTGAAACTCTGCACCTGCTGCTGAAGATGAGGACAGAGCGCCTATGGGAATATCAAGAGTGCTGTGATTCAACATATGTAATTTTCCTATTTTACAATGGAGACCTTGAAAAAAAAATTGAAAAACTAACCTGAATTTAACCTCCTGACGTTCAGAAGCTGTAAACTGCTGCCAACTTTTTTGCTTGGACTTAATGCTGAGGATTTTGATCTCACGATCTTGAATTCTGTAAATATTTGTGTGAGAAAACTGTGTCCTGGTGGTCTAAAGAAGACGAATGTCCTTCGCTGGAGTCCACACAGCTGGCAAATACCAGCAGCCGCAGTCATTGTTCTGAAACAAGGATAAAATCATATCTTTTAGTTAGTTAGTTTATCATCATTGCACTCCAAACATGTCCATAGGTGCTCAGATCCTCCCCTCAGTATAAACCCCAACGTCCGATGGCTAATAGTACCAGTTCTATGTTGATTAACAAGTCATCTGACGTGTCTGGTGTGCATCTCGTTTTTTGCTGTGCCGATCTTAATTCCCAAGTCTGCCATTCTGGCGAGTGATGTGGATTCACTGCCCCCAAAGTCCTCTATTATTCTCATTTCTCTGAGTGCATTAATAAAATCAGCATGATCCATAGG